GGAGATGCGTTGAGGAAGAGTCACGGGTGTGTTAAAATGGTCTAACTTCAACTACACATAACACACGTCTGGCAACGATACAGACGATACTTACGTTACTTTAATAATACTTGGCACACAATCATTTTACCTTATGCTAAAAAGGTCCCTCTATGGGTATACGTTGAGATCTTGGAGATAAGAGTGTGACATATTCTTTTCAGGAGATTAATGACTTTCTTACAAACATCAGATTCTCTGATGTTTGGACATCAAAATATTCTAACTTCAGGAGCAATTGAAACTCCTGGCTCTCCCCAAGGACGATATCACGGGATACCATTCGTACTGGCAGATTCGACACTCACTTACTTGACAAGTGTTACTAACAATAAAGACAGTTGAAGCTTTCACCATCACTCACAAAGGATCTTGATTGCTTTAACTGTAATCAGACATATCTAAGTTGACTCAAAACAATGGTGTTCTCTCTCACATTCAAATTTACTTTATAGAGGTTGGTTCAGGAAGTCAGAGAAAATGGACGGCATCTAAGCTAGAGAAAACGGGCATTTTCCTATGGATAACTCACCAGTTATCCACATGCTTTGAGGGCGTGAAGCATAATATGAATCATCAGGTTTCAAACAGACCATCCATGCCATTGTGACCATGACACTACCGCGGGATCTCACTGCTATCTGTAGTTGGCAAGATTATCGCCCAAGTCCTCCTAAACAGACTTCTTCCTGAGGCGGAAAACTTCCTCCCAGAATCTTAATGTGGCTTTAGACCATCACGTGGCACCAGTGATATGATCTTTGCTGCCCTCCAGATACAAGAAGAGTGCCCACCACTTCTCTATGGATGTCGGTCACACTAGAATAACCCGATATAGTACATCCTTCTTCCCTCACATAGCCAAACTGTGGAATGCTCTGCCTTCTGTGTTTCCATACTCATACAATGTCTCACTTCAAAAAGCTGGTTTTCCAGCATCTTCGTGGTGTAGTTTAATATAATATTTGTCTTTTCTATTTTTAGTTTCTTTTTACGCCTGTGGGTCGACGACCTGTACCCGGGTGGGCTATTCCCCGTTTAAAAAAAAAACTTGAATCAGTTAGGGGAAAATCCACCATAAAGAACCTTGAAAACAGAGAGCCAGTAAAACTTATGAGACACGACCGACCGTCCAGCCGGTCAGTAGTACAGAAGATAAAATAATAATAATAATAATAATAATAATAATAATAATAATAATAATAATAATAATAATAATTATGATAAAAATAATAATAATAATAATAATAATAATAATAATAATAATAATAATAATAATAATAATAATAATGATAAAAATAATAATAATAATAATAATAATAATAATTATAATAATAATAATAATAATAATAATAATAATAATAATAATAATAATAATAATAATAATTGTAATAATAATAATAATAATAATAATAATCATAATAATAATAATAATAATAATAATAATAATAATAATAATATGTAGTGGACCCCATCCCCTACAAGTGACGACTGAGCTCCCGCGCGCCTACCAGCCAATCAGCGTACAGCCAGCGATGCTGGTAGACCCCGGAGTGACCACTCACACAGGATGGAGGAGAAACTGATCACTCTCCCAGTCTTCAAGCAACATGGAAGACTGGCTTACCCACGCAGAGGCAGCTCTCATCGGCTCTACAACTACTGTCTCTACACTGCAGGTTAGACACCCTAGAGCAGCTCTGCTACTCTAAGCAGACAGCCGCTCCTATTCCTGCCCCAAGCACCACGTCCTACCGACCCCAACACACCCGTCCTGCCTCAGACGCCGCCCCCGGCCCAGCAGTACCCCCTGCCGCTCCTCCTGACGCGGACCCACACACCCCTCTTTTCTCCCTCAGGTACCCCCTGCTACTGCCCTGCACCCTGCTGCTGTCGTGGACCCTGCTGCTGTCATGCACCCTGCTGCTGTCATGGACACTCTTCCTAACGCAGCCCCTGCTCCTGACCCAGCCCCACACACCCCAGCAGGCGCATCTGAGGACTTTGTACCTGTCGCGAGGGAAGCACAACATTCATCTCCTCCACAACCCTCCTCCCTCTTTTCTCCCACAGATCTCGTGTATCTAGACAGAGTTGCCCCCCCCCCCTAGCGGCCGGCTCATCCACGCCCTCGCCATTGTCCCACATGTGGCACGCACCGCCAGTTCTGCCTCACATGTGGCACGCAACTCTGCCAACCTCCAGCCTCCCGCCGCGCCCGGAGGGGAAGGGGAGCATTGTAGTGGATTCCTCCCCTACAAGCACCGAACCTTCTCGAATTCCCCAGTCTACGCCTCCAGCGCCGCCCACGGAGCGGGGGTCAACTATCTACCCCCGCCTTATAAGGCCTGACACCGCTGCGACCACTCTCTTTTCTACCCAGTGCCACCAGCAATGTTACAGCCTTAACAACATCAACCTAGAGAAGTCGACTTGTGAAAGAGACCTAGGGGTACTTGTAAGCCCGGACCTACGGCCTAGAAAACAGTGTGTTAATGTTCGAAATAAGGCAAACAGAGTATTGGGTTTTATATTTAGAAGTGTAAGTAATAAGAGTGCAGAGGTCTTATTGCAACAATATCTTGCGCTAGTCAGGCCGCACCTCGATTATGCGGTTCAGCTCTGGTGCCCTTATTATAGAATGGATATCAATTCACTAGAGTCGGTGCAGCGAAGAATGACGAAAATGCTTCCGGGACTTAGAAACCTTCCATATCAGGATAGGTTAAAGAAACTAAACTTGCATTCCCTAGAAAGACGAAGAGTGCGGGGAGATATGATAGAAGTATTCAAGTGGGTGAAAGGAATCAATAAAGGTGATATAGAAAAAGTTCTTATAATATCCGCGCAGGATAGGACTCGGAACAACGGATTCAAGTTGGATAAGTTTAGGTTTAGGAGGGAGATAAGAAGGAACTGGTTTACAAATAGGGTGGTGGACGAGTGGAACAAGCTTAGCAACTTTGTAGTAAGTGCTGGAATGCTGGAAAGTTTTAAAAGGAGGCTAGATAGATTCATGGATGATAGAGAGTGGTAGTAACTCTCGACAGGAGCTGCCATGCACAGGCCAACCGGCCTATTGCAGACTCCTTATTTTCTTATGTTCTTATGTAACACCTCCTCCGCGCCAGCCTAGCGGCTGCCGCTCCAGCCAGCGATCTTGGCGTCCCTCAAGCCACGTGTCCCTCCTCTGGGAACCCTCACCACCCAGCTCTCTACTCAACGCTTATAACCATGCTACCTACCCAGCAACAAGCTGCATTGTACATCCAATACAATATGTATACAGTGAGCACATTGTGAGTTTCCTTTCTCCATCCCATCCTGAGTGTGAACCAATATCTCATAACTCCACAAGCTACTCCTCACCTATAAATTCTTAGCACTGCACTGTACAACAATATACATACTTTTACTTTTATCCTCTTCGCCACTGATTGGCTTGTTAGCCGCTTGGGCGATCGGTCACGTCTCTGATTACTTTTCCTTTTCATTTATCTTTTTCACCAAAAGATCGGCTCGCTAGCCGCCCGGGCGATCGGTCACGTCTCTGTCACGCACTGTTGGCAAATACTGGGCATGCACCGGCTCCTGAATGTACCTGAACCCGCTCCAGTGTTGGTCAAGTCTTGTCTTGAAAGAGCTCACACTCGGTGCCGTCACAACACTCTCTGGTAGATTGTTCCAAGAGTTTACAACCCTCACTCCGAAAAAAGTTTGCCCTCACGGTTTTCTGGACTTGCGGCTTCTTCAATCTTGAGCTGTGACCCCTTGTGGGGCGAGCGTCCGCCAGCTCCAAGTAAGGACACTCGACTGAGTAGTGCCCCCTGAGATGCTTATACACCTCAACTAGGTCCCCCCTTGCCCGTCTGTAGTATAAGCTAGGCAAGTTCAGGCGCTCCAATCTCTCAGGGTAGCTGAGGTGGCGAACTGCAGGCACCAGTCTGGTGGCCCTCCTTTGGACATTTTCAACCAACTGACAGTCCCTAGCATATCTCGGGGACCAGATGGGGTGACAGTACTCCAAATGGGGAAGCACTTCACTCCTGAAGATCGTTACGAGGGACGGACCGTCTAGATATCTGAACGACCTTCTTATAAGACCCAATAATTTATTTGCCTGATTTACCTTCTCACAGTGGCCCGAGAACTTCAGCTCATTGTCAACATACACACCTAGGTCCTTCTCACATTCAGTCTCAACTAGGGCAGTTTCTTCATCCCGCTGGGACATATGATACGCCTCCTTACCGATGGTACGCCCCAGGTGCATCCTCTTACACTTCGTGACATTGAATCTCAGCAGCCATTTCTTCGACCATTCCTGGAGCCCACAGAGGTCCTTCTGCAGCTCTTCACAGTCCGCTTGGTTCTTAATTTCCCGAAATAACTTGGCGTCATCGGCAAACATTTGTATGGAGGAGTCTACAACGTCAGGCATGTCATTTATGAAACAAACAAATAACAGCGGGCCCAACAAATAACAGCGTGAGTTTCTATTCTACCTCATTCCTGAGTGTGAGATATCTACATGTACGTACGTTTGTGTGCCCATACAAAGAGACAATAGACAACTAAAGAGAATTGACAACTGGCCACAACAGTACGCTACAAATACAGCTTTAAATGGGTATTACACAATTTATAGCAAATACTTCTGTCATTTCTTTTCCTGCTTTCGCCTTTATCTTTATTTTTTATCTATATTTGTCATTTTTGTTAATATTTTATTTATTTAATTATCTTAATTTTTCACTTTACATTCAAATACCTACTGTACAATATCCTTAACAGCTATGACGACCATTTCTCATTTAATCACTTCCTTCCTATCTTTTTTCTTTATTTATATTTTTACATGTATCTTTATCTCCATGTTTAAAACTTTTACTACTTATCGTATTATTTAAAAATTTTAGTATACGTATAAATATTTGATTTAAAATTTGTAAACAGCAACTTTATACCAGAGGCGGCGTCCCTGAGTTTCATTCTCCTCCACCCGGCCCGGCCAGTACAAGTTAACGGACAACTAAATAGTGAAATAAATGTGGAATATCTCCTCCATGCGGGTAATTATTTATCTGGATAGAGTTAGTCCTTAAGTATATACCAGAAAGGCAGGTAAGTAGACAGTGTAGGTAGCTAGGCAGTGCAAGTTGCTAGACAATGCAGGTTGCTAGACAGTGCAGGTAGCTAGACAACTGACTGGCTAAGTTCCTATTAACGCTATTTGGTTAATATTCGTCCATTGGCTGAGGTAATACTCCTCACTTATAGTCACTTGTCTCTTCATTTCTTGCTCCTTGTAAGTGATAATATTTGCAGTTAACAGCAACCATAGAATTCCGAATATTCACTACACTCAATCAATAGAACTATTTTTTTTCAATGGTTTTCGTATACCCGTATTACATTAGGTTAGGTTACACTTTTATTTATCAGATTCTTTGGTTGCTGTAATCTGTAATTTTACCTGTTGATTGGTTCTTTTGGTATGAGAATAGCGGTCCGACTAATTACCCAAATGTAGCCGCAATGAAGTCAAATAATGGTCCTACATGAATAAATAGGACTGCCAACCACTTCTCGACTAGTATTTGGTGTCACAAAGTCACAAAAAATTGGAAGACTTAATTTAAACTGAGTTAATAGATCGCGTGCATGTACCGAGGGAGCGAGTAATTACCCAAATGTACCCAAATGTAGTCGCAATGAAGTCAAATGATGGTCCTACAAGCGTAAATTGGGCTGTGAATCACTTCTCGATTATTATTTGGTGTCATAAAGTCACAAAAAATTGGTAAACTTAATTTAATCCGAGTTGTGTTAGGTTAGGTTAGGTTAGGTACTTGCACTCGATCTGTTAACTCAGATTAAATTAAGTTTTCCAATTTTTTTTTTACTTTGTGACACCAAATACTAGTCGAGAAGTGATTGGCAGTCCGATTTATTCATGTAGGACCATTATTTGACTTCATTGCGGCTACATTTGGGTAATTAGTCGGACCCTGAGAATAGGTTTTCTTTTGTGTTTTTTGGTGTTTTGTTTTACTAAAATTTGGGTATTTTTTGTATTAGTGCACACAACTTTCCTATCCCAAATCTATTATCACATTCGAACAAGACGTCTAATTTAAGATACCGTTGCAAACGGAGACAGCACATGCCAGATATTTCTATTTTCTTCCATTAATTTTCTGCCATAATCGCCTACCTGACCTCCCACTCAGCGTGTTTCCTTCATAAATCGCCATAAACATGCGTTCCCATACGCGTCATGCGGCCAATCAAAAGCTTTTTTTTGTTTTGTTTTTTCCACCAATTACAATGAATTGTGGTTTAATTTGCAGTAGTTTTTGCCCAATCAGATTCGACTGTGATTTTGGGTCTCATATTTTGAAATTCTAATTCATTTCCGACCATTGAAGTCTGCGATGGGTATCACTTCAATTACTGTATGTGGAGTTGATTGCGTGTTTTGGGGAAAAAAACGAACAAGTTACAGCATTTTTTAGATCTCATGGTGTTCTCCTGACCTCAATAAAGTGTCCTGAGTGTAATAACGAGTGTAAATATCGTCAAGGCCAACATAGTTGGCATTGTAGTAACTCGTTCCTTATTCCCAAGGCAAAGAAGAGACGTTGGTGTTCGTACACCGTCGGTGATTACAAAGGAACCAGAACCAGGCCAATTGGGTAAGAAATAAGTGATTCCATCATATGGTGAGGGTTAGGTTAGGGTTTTTTTTTTTTTTTTTTCCTCCCGCTTTGCCATGATTTTTGTCGGAAAACGCCCCACCCAAAACCCCTTATAACTAAAAAACAGACGATCGCTGATGGAAATCAAGGTCAAAACCAACCATAACACATGAAAATACACTAGAAAAACATAGTTTTGACTTTCTAACAGAGTTGTGTGCACTAATGCAAATTTACCCAAATCTGACCTCATTTTTGTGCAAATTATCTGTTTCTGTTAAAAATTTAAATTTTTTTTTTTTCCAAAAACTGCTAATTTGCACAAGAAATGATTAGAGTAAAACACCGAAAGTATAAAAAAGAAAAAATTTTCTCATACCAAAACCTGAGAACAGCTAACGGACGAATATTTACCCGCTATTTTACCATGAGTGCACTCTGATTGGCTAATCGGAATACAGTCCAACTCGGCCCATTGCCAACTCGCCTCACATCCTACTTGGACCATCAAATACCAACATGAACCACTTAGGTTAATCAACACTTTTTACACATTTATTTTTGCATTAACGGTAAAAGTACAAAAGTACGATGATAAAATGCTGCATATAAAGTACAAACATTACTGATAAACAATCACGTGATGTGAAACGGCTCGTAGCAAATTTTTTGCAGGTCTTCATCCACTACTGAATTGTCCCACAGTTTGAAGAGTTGTCCTTGGTGATGTACATAATGTACAGTATTTGGTCCTTTGTTTTCGTAGCACTTTACCGTTGGACAAGAGCCTCACCTGGAGTGTCACTAGTTTTGCTTCATTATGGAGTAGCTTGATTAACAGATGGAAGTTAAGTTATCCTTTTCTTGCTTTCAAGTTAAGGCGATTAAGCCACGGATACAGGTGAAGTCGGACCTTGGTGACTTCGGCCCATTTCGGTAATTTCAATGTGGGCCGAGATCATTGCTGTAACTGGGCCGATGTCACCAAGGGCTGACTTCACTGGCACCCTTATGCCACCCTTCACAGGCATTATTCGTGTGGACACTCCTTTTAAATGCACTCCAAGCAGATAGGGTCCAGATGTCTTTCCTGAACCTCTAGATAGCTACTTGTTTGAGGTGTGTAAGGTGGGCCATGCATCCCAAGCATTGGTCAGCCATGGTCAGGACTCAGAATGTGACTGATCCAGTAATCTAACACCAACAGTAAGTGACTTTGCACTCTACACTTTATAAACAGACAGAAACCTCCTATGTTACGAATGTGAATCATGGTTCATTGATCAAGTTCTACAAACATTAACTCATAAAATTCATCCTTCATACCGATTAAACCCTTGTCATTCACTCAGTCACACTCTTCGTATTTCAGTGAACCAAAAGAGACATAAAACCCATCTCAAACTCATTCCTGAACTTCTATTCAGCTACTTGTTTGAAGTTTGAAAGGTGGGCCCAGTTAATTATTTAAGATGGGCCCAGTTAGTTATTTAAGATGGGCCGAGTTGGAGGTACACCAGCTAATCATCCATTACTGGCGAACAACACGAGAATAGTACAACCTTCTTGATATTTAGTCAAATGGTAACGAATTTAAGCCCTAAAACCGATTACTGTATTGGCGGACATACTACAGCTGGTGAGCAGACGTAAACATGTTGGGAAAAATTCGTAAGGAATTCGTTAACCGAAGTGAAGAATCTTATGGAAGGTAATCGTTAATCAAAATTTTTTTAACCGAGGGATCACTGTACTGAAGTAAATTTATTTAGTTACTTTACAACTCTGGAATTACGCAATGAGGACCTGATTCAACTGGAGATGCAAATTTTGTCAGAGGATGTAAAGGAAACTGGAACTCCAGAACCAAAGGGATTCATTACAGAAGAAATGGTAGAAGGTTTTGGAATTAATTGAAGGATTGTTGAAATTTGAACAGCAAAATACCAACACAGCAAGACTCACCAATATTGATAGAGGTATTGTATTACTGAATGTCTATGATGCTACAGAGAGATTTATAGCAAAAAGAAGAACGTTTCAGTTCAACAATCCTAATAAAGCTTTTGTCACTCCTACAAATTCTCATCTCTACATGCAAGCCATGTATAAAAAAACTTAGTCTATGATATATTGCAAAGAGGCTGTGTGTTCCAAATTACGTACATTTCCGACTTTAGAACATCCTCAGGAATGGAACTTGTTCATAACCCGGGGACCCCCCTGTATATACTTACGAAATGTATTCTTGATAAGATTATTTAATATGAATTGTTTTGTTTCAGTAAGGTGACTAACCAGCCAGGTAGTGAAGAGGATGAAACATTAACCACATCACCTACCAGAAGATCACAACAATGGGACATACAAAGAAGAAAACATTTAGTTGTGAGAAATGTGGGAAGGAGTATCGGGTTTTGGGTTGTCTAAAGACACACCTAAAGTTGTGCACTATTGAAGACTTTGAATGTGAGGAATGTGGAGAAGGGTTTGCTACCCAGGCTGCTCTCAATGTTCACAAGAAAGCGCACACCATACGTAAGTGTGATGAATGTGGAGAAGGGTTTGCTACCCAGGCTGCTCTCAATGTTCACAAGAAAGCGCACACCATACATAAGTGTGATGAATGTGGAGAAGGGTTTTCTAGGAAGGCTGCCCTCAGTGTTCACAAGAAAGTGCACATCATACATGAGTGTGATGAATGTGGAGATGAGTTTGCTACCCAGGCTGCTCTCAGTGTCCACGAGAAAGTGCACATCATACATGAGTGTGATGAATGTGGAGAAGAGTTTGCTGAGAAGGCTGCTCTCAGTGTTCACAAGACAGTGCACAACGTACATGAGTGTTATGAATGTGGAGAAGAGTTTCCTAAGAAGGCTGCTCTCATTGTTCACAAGAAAGTGCACAACATACATGAGTGTGATGAATGTGGAGAAGAGTTTGCTGAGAAGGCTGCTCTCAGTGTTCACAAGACAGTGCACAACGTACATGAGTGTTATGAATGTGGAGAAGAGTTTCCTAAGAAGCCTGCTCTCATTGTTCACAAGAAAGTGCACAACATATATGAGTGTTATGAATGTGGAGAAGAGTTTGCCGAGAAGCCTGCTCTCATTGTTCACAAGAAAGTGCACAACATACATGAGTGTGATGAATGTGGAGAAGAGTTTGCCAAGAAGCCTGCTCTCAATGTTCACAAGAAAGTGCACAACATACATGAGTGTGATGAATGTGGAGAAGAGTTTGCCAAGAAGCCTGCTCTCACTGTTCACAAGAAAGTGCACAGCGTACATAAGTGTGATGAATGTGGAAAAGGGTTTACTCAGAATAGTTTTCTCATGAGACATGTGCGCACTGTACATGAAAATCCTCAGAAGTTTGATTGTGATGTGTGCGGTAAAGGTTTTGGTCGAAGACATGCATTAAGGTCACATAGTCTTGTACACAAAGATGAAAAGCCTTTTGAATGTTCGGAGTGTGGAAAAAAATTTTCCCGGAAGCAGTCCATGAAAAAACACTTCCTCTTGCACTTTGACAATAAAAATTTTAAGTGTACTAAATGTAGGAAACTGTTTTCAGATTATGGTGATCTTGATTTACACATGCTGACACATGTTGCCCAAATTTTTACTTGTGAGGTGTGTGACAAACAGTTTAGATATATAAATGGTTTGGAGAAACATATGTCTCGTCACAGTGAAAACCCGCCTACCTGTGACATATGTAAGAAAGTTTTTAAAAATGAGAGCTCTGTGAAGAAGCATATGCTTATCCACAGGAAAAAAAAAGAGGAATATGAGTGTCAGTTATGTTGGGAAAATTTTGAGACCAAGGCACGTTACAGGAAGCATGTTGTTGATATACACAGTGATGAACAAGGGCCCTCCCTTGCTGATGTAGTATGGGTGTGAGATAGCCCCCTAATAGCTATACATTTATGTATGTACAGTTGTGGTTCACAGCACTTGATGAAACTACTGTACTGTACAGTATGGGTGAGGCAGAAGTGTGTTGCATGACAACAAAAACAAGTCATAAGCTGCTCTCTACAGGTAAAATTTCTCTAGCTACTGTGTGGTACGGTATGTAGTTGTACATAACACAAACAATACGTGTATACTACGAGATGCTTAAAGTTTGTGACTAATACAGGAGCTGTTGTACCCCGTTTTAATGTAAATATTTTACATGTACAGTGCAGTACTTTGGAGTACAAATATTTTTTTGTGTAAGGAGGAGGTGATTTTATTATGTGTCTTTTATATACCTCATCATTACCAATTTATTGTGTATTGTCACAGTGTATCATTTATAATACAGTACAGTGATGTTACTCTGATTAAGGACCAAGGGGCAACATGTTACACTGGACCACTCGCTAATATAAACTTAGATTCGTCTACAGTGCACAACAAGAGGCTGTATTCTCACACATTATGGTGTTCCTCTAACTTGACACTGGCCTTAGGTAAAACATATACAGTACAGTATAGTGTCTCAAGTGATCTTCCTAATTACTGACAGTTCTAATCTTTTCACAAAATTCTCTTGTTACTTGTGAACATATTCTCAGGCAGGGATTTCTTTCATTCTGTCATGCCATCTGGTTGATATTTTCTCCAGGAATACTGACACAGGTCACAGGCTCTTCCAAATTTAGCTTCAAATACCCATCCAATTTCAGGATCATAATAAACATTGTTTTAATATGTCAAATATAATATCAAATAATTAAAATTCACAACTCCATAAGTACAGTATACATTACCCAACTCATATAGATTATGACATGTTACATAAAAATGTGGCATAACTAGACACAAAGAAACATAATTACAGTAGTCACCTGGAATGACAAACATACGAGTGTAACATAGTATATTCAGACAATACAAAAGATAATACAACCTAACCTAATATATGAGGAGCTCCAGACCATAATCTGCTAAGTGCCAAAATAGAAAATGGAGGAAAATGCTCAGGAAGGAATGTGTGACATACAATAGTCTTTTTCAGAGTACTCTCACCCACATTTACAGGTTGCCAATTAGCTCTCTGATTTACCCTGGGGAATGGTTGGGGAATACAATACAATACATGTTTCAGCAACATATGGCTCTTAACGGGTTATGGTCCAGAGCTCCGCATATACTAGTAACATACTATACCCACAAAATGTAAACATGGACCCAACGTAATCTACACTGGTAACATAATCTAACAACCAAATACAGATAACTCGTTACACCCCTACCAAGACATACATGTACAGGTTGACAACCCTTTATCCGAAATTCCGAAAAGCTCTGAAAACCGAAAGTTTTTTTTGTGGAGCAATTTTTTTTTTTTTAAACAGGGATTAGCCCAACCAGGCATAGATCACTGACCCACATCGGGGCCTGGGGGGCGAAAATGTAATAGTAATACTAATTATAATAATAATTATTAATAGTAAATAAAAATTTTAATAAAAAATACACCAAAATAAAATAATAATAATAACAATAATAATAATAAGAAAATATAATAATAATAACAATAATAATACTGTATTAATAAAATAATAATAATAATAAAGAAATACATGAATGAAAAAAGATAAAAAGTGAGAAGCACGACCTAGACCTATGAATTATTATTATTATTATTATTATTATTATTATTATTATTATAATAATTATTATTATTATTATAATAATAATTATTATTATTATTATTATTATAATAATAATAATTATTATTATTATTACTGTATTATATTTTCGCCTCCCAGGCCCCAATGTGGGTCAGTGACTTGTGCTTGGGTGGGCTAATACACACAATAATAATAATAAAAATAAAAAAAATTCTGAAAACCGAAAAATTCCGAAATGCCTCTGGGCCCAAGGATTTCGGATAAGGGATTGTCAACCTGTATACTGTATTGATAATATTTCTATAAAGGATAAATCCTTACTTAGCCTTTCCTAGCCATATAACATGGTAGAACCACAGACAATACCTAATTACATTAAATTAAAGATCTAACAGGATGATCCCTACAGCTAATGCCGACGGTGGTCCTGCACTGGAGAGTGTGAGTACTCCTCCCTCCTCTTAACTGACCCCACAAATAACTAGGGACCTACAAGTGCACTGTACCTTTACTCCCTGCCAGTCCCTCACACGATACTTCCACCAACAGACTTCCCGGTCGTGTATAATTCATGCTCTAACACACCTACCAGAGAGGGTTTGGATAATCTTGTAACACATGATACTCTCACCTCCAGTGAAGTCCATACTGCGGTCTCTTGTCACCCTTGTTGAGCCATCTGAGTGAATCGTGGCTAGCTCACCATGTTAACAGGTCTCGCTTGATCCTCAATTCTATACTGTATATAATGTAGTGTATACTGTATCTGTATATCTTTACTGTCAGTCACTATCACTATTTTCAGCCTTCGGGCTGCAGAACTTTTTCAATAAACCGTTAATTATTATTATTATTATTATTATTATTATTGTTATTATTATTATTATTATCTTCTTTTAAGGGCTTCTGCTCTTGTTCCTCCTTCATATTAGCTGTACATTCTATGGTTATGTATTTTATTTGATCCTGTCAATAGTCATTAGTTATGAAACAGAAGAAATTTGGTTGTTTAAATTATTTGAAGCTGTAGCTATTTGGTTTAGTTTTAGTAATTTACAGTATTCTGTATGTTGAAATCTTCATTTGAGATAAAATAATTATTTTTATGTACTGTACAATCTTTAATAAAGAAATAATTACTTAGTACAGTACTTAGTCTTTGCCAACCTGTTCTATTTCTTTCCTGAGAATAACAAAATATTTGCATAGTCGAGAAAATTATTGGACCGTCACATATCAGCTGTGGATGAAACAAATCTTTCTCAATGACTTTGGCACGTCATTGATGAGACCATTTTACCAATACTGTACCATCAAATGTAACACTAAACTGTTAGTCCTCAAGGGGATACACTGTTGGTGATCACTGCAGTTTTCCTCTAAACTATACCAAATTGGCAAGTAAATGCTGTTGGAAATGCCTTGTCTTCAGGCCGGGAGCAGAAAGTCAGTGGCTACTTCAATATCTCAATACTTGTTGAAAAATATTTTCTTCAAGAGTTGAGTGTTGGTAAAGGAGAAAACTGAAGTACCCAGAGGAAATTACATTGTTGAGGAAGGTCACGGTCTCGGGTCTGACCTGGGGTTGGACTAGGGTCTAGAAGAACTGTTAAACGATTTTGGAGAGCAGACCCCAATAACTGTTAAGTTAAACAGTCTGGATGATTCTTGTTTACTGAAAAATAATTGGTCTAGTTTGTAGCACTTTTCCAACATGATCCATCTTGAGTGTAGGACATGATTACTGTAGCCAATGAGTCCATGATTGTGTCACTTTTTCAAGAGTTTGTAATCTGTTATAATGGATCACATGAGGAACAATCTACTACTGTGGTGTATTGTACTGTACTCGGAAAGAAATTATGTACCTAGTGACTCAAAGAGATAAATCCACTGTTCAAAGTTGTGGACACACCAGGAAGATAATGGATGTAGAACATCAAATAAGGATATCATTAAAAGCTAAAACTGTGCAGTACATCATTGTCTGGTTAGTGAGCTTCATTGGTTATGGTATTAAGTTAACACAAAGGATTACATCTACCTTGTTTGACAGGTGGCATAGATAATGTAAATAGATCCAAATATAATGGCAGCAGTGTTCTGTGTCATCCCAAAAGGGGGGTGAGTTGGGTCCAGTCCTGTGTCATGTACAGTACAGTCGCTCACAAAGGTCCAATAACCCCCAGCCTATCTAAACTGAAACTGTTTTAACCCTTGTGTCATTTTTTGATTAAAAAGCGAGTTCCTCAGATATTGAAACTGTTGCCTGGCCCCTCAAGGCTATCACAAGTGTACAGTGCATGAGGAAGAGCCTCACCTGTACTTGTAAGTATGTACCAATATTATTTTATTTTATGAGTTCCCCAAAGTATAATACTTACGTGAGTTTATAAGTACAGTATGTACAGTATACTATTCTGTGTACACCTTTTTCCACGTGTAATATAATATTTTTTATTGAATACAGTATTGGTGACATTTATTAGTAGAGCACACTTATCACTGCATCATCCACAGAATCTATACCAAAACAAACATATTGAAGCATAAATGACACTCGTTTACTCAAAACTATGTTTGGTTAATATGTCTGCTACACTAAATGCCTCATATTATGTTAGGGCAGCTTAGGTAACATTATGTTAGGATAGGTTATGTTATGTTAGCTAGGGTTACATTATGTTAGATTAGATTAAGTTATATCTTATTATGTTAGCTGAGGTTAACATTAGGGTGTAAAAACATCAAGTGAAGTACTTTGGGGTGTCTGATCTTGAGTTGATCCATCCTTACCTCTTCATAAATTCCTTCCTGGATGTGCAGTACTGTATTTAAAATATGTTTACAGATAGCAGTCAGCAAGAGTTTATGTGTAAATGAACTGTAAATATCTTTCTAGATTTTAATAATCACAGCCTCTCTACCTCACTGGTATTAGGCTACACCATATTAGTATAGTAGTTTAATTAGAAACCCATAACAAATACATAGAAATATAGTGGAAACCAGTCTATTATCTCCACTTGTCCCATTCTCTGTCTACAGGTGTTCTACTGACCAACAAGTTACATTCCTGAGGCTTGTTCGTAAGTCCAACTTTACTCCTGTAAATACCCAACATTGTAAAAAAACTAATGTATGTACATTCCCCACCAAAAATATCGTTGGCCATGGGGTCGATGTGATTCGGAGCTTTCCAAACTATGTTACTCGACTTGTTTCAGAACAGTTGGTAGTTTTACATCTGCAACCCATGAGCATGAGTGAGTACAGTGAATCCTTGAAGATTCGGACCTGGTACATCCGGATTTCGGAAGAATCGGACGAAATTTAGGGGTTCCTGGGGCTAAGAAGCATTCCCAAAACAGAGTAAAGATCATCTTAGGTCCGTGTAACTAAGATGTCAGAGTGCGGGACACAGGTGCCTGAGGAGGCGGGAAAATTAAACGGCGTCATCAATTGTTGTTTGTGGGAATATTATTTCATTGACTAATTATGGTACAATGTTTCTTTTTATGTTTGCGTAGGTAAATGCATGGTTTATATAATTTATCACTGTGCCTGTCACTGTTTTCAAATTAGACTACAAGATCTGTATTTCGATCATACACCTGGCAACGGGAGCGAGTAACCTCAAGTTAGTGTGTCGTCTACTGTTGTCACTCCTCGCTTCCTGCCATATTTCACTGGATTTGGTGTTATCATTAGTGTTTACTGTTATAATAATGTTTAATCATGGCATTGCAGCCAGGTTAGGCTTGTCACTGCAACCACCAGGCTACTGGGCCAAGCTGTAAGGTGTTATGGTTGTTTTCAACTCATATTTTTGGGCAGATATACGATACATAACTTCCTTCATTTATTTTTACTTGGTTACATGCACACAGCATCCTACATACATATTGTGAAAAAGTAAAAGAAATAATTGTCCTAAGTTCAAACACATAAAGGGAATAACTATACATTTCTTTGCACACAAGTTAGTTGGCTCAGTGAGGGAGCCAGAGGAGTGTGTAGGGTGTGGGGAGCATTGCTAGGGAATTGGTGGAGGTAGCATCCCAGCTGGTCTCTGTTGTTGGGATGAAGCAAGGAGTGTATGCAAATGGTGACTGTTAAACTTTCATTTGGTTTTTATTTACTGGTTTGGTAATACATTAAGTCCACGCTTAGTGTCACCCCGCTTAACGTTGTTTCGGTACTACGTCGCTAAACTTTAGAGACTAAAAATTCGTTTAACGTCCGGGTGATTCGGTACAACGTCGTTTTGTGTCGTCACGGACTACTTTTTATGGCACATCACCCTCTCTCGGCTCGGCGTACTGCCCTCACTCGCGGAATGTCACAGCGACGCCAAGCCAGTCTTGTTATGACTTCACATCATACGTGTTTGCTTAAGTGCTTTTGCTCTAAAACTGTACTGTACTCTAATCATTCAAAATGGCTTCCAAGCACCCATCAAGTGCTACTGATGCTAGTGTAGTGAAGAGGCAACTTAGACCATTACCCTGGCTACAAAAATGGATGTATTAGCCCGATTTGAGAAAGGGGAACGTGCTGTGGACATAGCCGCTGTGCTTGGTCTAACCCCCACAACGGTGCATACTATCTGGACCAACGCTGACAAGATTAAGGTTAGCGCTGGAAGTGGTTCTTCTCTGAGTGCTGCTAAAATAACTCATACTAGAAGTACTGTACTGTGATAG